AAATGTTTTGAGAATGATGAGGGCAATGAATGTACAAATGCGCTTTACACAATTGATGTGTGTATGGATTGGGATAAGAGTTGTATGATGATTTAAAAAAAATGGAAAGATCACTGAATTTTCAATGAATTTTTGAAGCCTTATATATGCTTATTTTAATTTTTTATAATGAACAGAAACGTGAAAAATGCAGTAGCTAAAAAAAAATTCTTCTAAATGCAGGTATAAAAAACAAACTGGAAAAAAAAAAAAACTAAAGAGAATGGATGAGAAACTAAAGCTCTGTTTTCTTGTGTTTTTTTTCCCTCACCCAAGTAAGTAACTTCACTTACAAAAAGTAGAAAAGAGGAGTGGACAAACAACTTCAGAAAATGACTAACATTGGGGTTAGGTAACCTTCTCAATGATCACGCTTTTAAATTGTTTACCAAACAAGTAGTACTTTGAAGAGTTTTTTCAAATATGGTAAAAGTTGTAAAAATCTGGTTCTATAATACATGATGCCCAAAAGGTTCTCTGACTTAAGAGTCTTGTTCTTGCCTTTGCAAATAATTCTTTGATTATATATGATTATAAGATAAAGGCATAAATCATACCATATTCATAATAGAATACTATGCAGAGGCTGAAAAGGCAGTTATAGGATTTCTATGTATGACATTTTATACCTAGCATATAGAAGATATTTAATAAAATTTTGTGAAGTTTAGAAAAATATTGTTAAATAAAAAAGGTAGACTGGTTTATATAATATTATTCAAATTTAGTATATAAACCACAGAATAAAAGCAAAATTTCTTACCATTGTATCCCTTTATTCCTCCATATTTAAACTATTTATTCCTAATTATTCACTTATACCACATTTATTATATCTACATGCTGAGCAAATAATCCAAGAAACTAGACTAGATGAAGAATACAGCATCAAGATTGGAGGAAGACTGGAGAAACGGTGTGGGGCCACATTTAACTACTTCTGGATACCCAAAGGAGAAGAATCCAACTCCACATTTGTCCAAGGTTGATTCTTATGAGGCAGAGGTCAGACATTTCTCTAACCAACAACCTTCTTTACCCTATTCTGACATCAACCGTCCTTCCCACAGCATTCTACTTCTCTACAGGGTTCAACAATCTGTGACAATAGGCACACAGAGAGCTACTGCTCACAGCTATGAGGTTAATTAGGGAAATGGATACAGCACAAAATATTAAAGACACAGTTCTTTGGTCAGCAGAGATGCTTTTCATAGCCATACTGGTAGGCATGTCTCTCAATGGTCCCGACTCTCAGTCACACAGGTCTTTGCTTTGTATCTGCTCTGCTTGGGCAAGTGTTACAAAGCTCCTGTAGTGATGATAAATGCCCAAAGGGCATCCCACTCTGCAAGCCATCCCCCTGCCTAAAGGCAGCCTACATTCTGCACTTCATTGTCTCTGCTACTACTGCTCCCTGCTTCTCAGCACAGTGATCTCAGAATTGCTCATTTGTCACTCTTCTTTCTATATTGTATTGGGATTCTCTGCTACTACCTCTGATAATGGAACCCTTGGGGAGTAGTAGATTAAGTGTT